GAGAGCGGACTGTCTAGACGACGCAGGGTTGTTTATTAGATTTTTGCTCGCGTTATTTTGCTTTGTTTTTTTTTCTTTTTTTTTTTACGTAGTATGTAGTTATTTGGCCAAGGGTACTCTTGGTCCAAAAACTCTTCCGTTGGGGTTGGTACGCGAGGTCGGACCTCGTGCCCCCTTAGGGTACGTTAGCCGCTTAGGCCTAGTCCTGCCGGACTAAGCCACCGAGCTCTTCCGTCGGGGTTGGTACGCGAGGTTGGACCTCGTGCCCCCTTAGGGTGCGCTACCGGCATGAGCCAAGTCCTACCGGACTAAGCCATCGGATTCTCCCGTCGGGGTTGGTACGCGAGGTCGAACCTCATGGCCCCTTAGGGTGCGCAAGCCGCTTGGGCCGAGTCCTGCCGGACTTAGCCACCGAGCTCTTCCGTCGGGGTTGGTACGCGAGGTCGGACCTCGTGCCCCCTTAGGGTGCGCTACCCGCATGAGCCAAGTCCTGTCGGACTAGGCCATCGGACTTTCCCGTCGGGGTTGGTACGCGAGGTCGGACCTCGTGCCCCCTTAGGGTGCGCAAGTCGCTTGGGCCGAGTCCTGCCGGACTAAGCCACCTAGCTCTTCCGTCGGGATTGGTACGCGAGGTTGGACCTCGTGCCCCCTTAGGGTATTGAGCGAGCAAGCTTTTTTTTTTTCAAAATCAAACGAATTGGAATTCAATTCGGGGACCGTTGGTCCAGAGTCCTTGGTCCCGGCCCCTCTCAGAAGGGTAAAATTTGCCGAACCTGAGCTAATTTTGCAATCGAACAATTATTTTATTATAATAAAACAAATTGTTGGTCGGACCAACATTCCTGGAATAGGCCAATAATAGACTCTTCCATCCAGTAGTGAGCAAGGACGAACCCTGCATCACTGTTAGAAAATGCCAAAATCGGGGCTGGCGCGCACAGCCTCGACTATGAACCCATTATTTTGCCAAGCGCTAGGCGAGATACAAATAATTTTATAAACTTTGAGTGCCATGAGCCCCTCACGTGGGTTAGTGGCCCACTAATTAACATGAGATACTATTATACCTGTAAGCATATTGCAAAAATGTATCCTGCATTCTCCAAACTATAGCTTGTAATATATAACTTTTGCCAGTTTCCACAACTTTCTTCCTCTCTAGCTCTCCTGCGATTATTTGTCTAGAAAATGCGCCGAACAAAGTCAATGTTTATAGGAACATCTCATGGCGCCTTTTCTATTTTTGATCATAATTCATTTTCCAAAAAAGAACTGACACCAACCGTTATGAATGTGGCAGTGATCATTTGCATGAATAATTACCAGCAAGAGTTTGTGCACATAATCCTGCAGAGAATATATACTGGCGAGACTGCACATAATTAGGCACAAGATAGGTGTTGTTCACAAAGTCATTCCTTCATTTATTACGGAATATGATCATATTCTCCGAACAAATTAACCCCCCCCCCTCCCCCCCCCCCCGCCCCCCGGAGATAAGCTTCTCGCCGGACTCCTCCCTTTTGGATTTGACCAAAATTCCTGTCTAAACAGGCTTCGGGCAACAATGTCACAAGAAACTGATGCGCCAGGCTGCATCCTATCTGATCTCTTAGTTACGAAGCTACGAAGCTCTCCGTCGGCGATGCAATCCAACAATGTCCTCCTCCTTGATCCTGGAAACCACATTCCCCATCCGCTCTGTGAACACTTCCCCTAGACTATTTCATGGTTTCTCCCCAAAGATTTCTCTGTTGCTGATCAGTTCAAAAACTCTTATCATAATTCCAGTTTATGTCATAGCTACATGCTCGTCAAGCATAACGTTTCTGCAATACCACCCTTCATCTTTGTCCATATGATATATGATATTAATTGAAATCAGAAACTATTTTATAGCGACCAACCATCTTCATTGGGTCGCCTTCAGAAAGCAGTTCAGTTGGACAAACACGAAGGCGGTTCCTCCTCCGACGATCACGGCATTAATAAGAATAATAATACTGCTTCATCTGCCCAAGACGTGGATGTCGTATGAAGTTACATAATTGCTGATAATGAGATCAAAGCGCTCCACTTCGCGTCTCCTTCCTGCGATCCGAAACTTTCGCAACTGATCGGGCAAAGCGGCGGTAGTTTCGGCTTATTCGCTACACTCGTTGTCAACAACAATAATTTCATCAGAAGAGAAATTTCTTGAGGTCAAGTTCTGGAGCGCCATCGCCCCATCGCAATCTTGAATTCTGCCATTAGCGCCCCTGGGCTTTCTCCGATCGCCGATGTCAAGCCGGAGGAGGCTCTTGCGGAGCAAGTTCACGTAGTGGAAATTTTTTTCAAAAAATATGTTCTTGCTATGGTTCGGGTGGTGCATTTTCCACCCCGGTTCCTTCATCACCATCTGTAAAGCCCACGGAAATAGCAGTTCATGCTTCCGGCAATGGAGCCTTGTTGGTAGGATGGCAGTCACCACCATCTTGCATTTGCCCTGAGAAAGTTACTGTATAGCGTTTTTCGCTTCACTAAGTTAATTACCTTCTCTGACGAGCTCCCACTCGATCACCAAATCCAATTCCCCTTTCGCCAATCACCCCGAGGTGGTGCTGCTCGTCGGCTGTTAAGTATCTACCATCGGAGCTGCTCTTCAGGCGGATTACGAAGTGGGCGCCGTCCACGAATCCCACGGTTCACTTTGCAGCCTTGGAGTTGCCGCGGTTGTCCTGGGAAACCGATCCTAAATTGCGATCGGCCGGAAGGTATTGGTCGTGGTGGCTCTCTAGCCTCACAGTTTTGGCTTTCTCCAAAACCACCATTACAGATATGCGAGGTTATGAAATTTCACATGCCGTAACATTAATGTTTATACTGATCGGCATATTTGGACAGTGTCAACTGTAACCAATGGTGAATCATAAGTCGATGAACACTGATCTCCTAGCGATCTGTGTGCCACGTCCAAAACGAGGTTGTATGGCGAGCCTTGGCCCATGGGACTTTGGTGTTTCAAGCCATCTCGTAGATCTCCTCGCTGGCTCGCAACTCTATTCGTATTGCGCCGGCCCATGGTGCGCATTGCGCTGGAGTGTGAGCAATAGACGGACAAGATAAGCTCCTGTACGAACGTATTTGGTCCATGTTTTTCAACGGGAGGAAGAAGAAGATCGGGTACGTACGACAGGAAAGGGTACATGATACTTGATCATGGTAATCATGTTAGACAAGAAATAGAGAGTGCGCTCAAGCTTGTACAGCCGCTCTAAACAAGAGCACCAATGATGGAATTAATTAAACCGGGGGTCTGGATTAATTAACCCGAATAAACGTAACAAGTATATAATTTAACGATAACAGGGGTACGAATATTGGAACGAATATAGTCACTGGACTGATATTGTATCAATTGTGTATAAAGTGTTATTACAGAGGTGTAATGCTATCACAAGTAGTAGTTTAGGACCAAAGGTAGAAGGTGTCCCTTAATAGGACAATTACTAGGCTATTTATGCAAAGGAAATTCCCACCAATTACTGCTAAATTCGTGGAGGGCCACGGGACTAAATCTAAGCCCATGTGGTGGGCCCCGAGACTAAGTCCAGGCCTATCATTTTAGGCCCGGAGTAAGCTCCGGGCTTGAGACTCTTCTTGGTTGGGCTGCTCGGGTTATACATTCCCGGACCCAGGTCTCTATTATTATTGGACCATTTCCAATATATCCATCAGTATTAGTATACAAAATTTATATATTTAGAAACTAGACTAAAAGTACTATTAAACACAAAAATTCAAATTTAAAAATAAGTAAAAAGTACTAAAGAAAATAAACAAAGAATAAAGAGTTGTAAAAAGTACTAAAGAAAATAAACAAAGAATAAAGAGTTAGTTTGAACAATGAATAGTAAGTAAGACAGATAAAATGGGACAGATGGCGTATATATATATATATATATATATATATATATATATATATATATATATATATATATATATATATATATATATATATATATATATATATACTTCCTGTCAAAAACAATTTTATACTATTAAAATTTAATTTGCGTAATATTGTAAAATAGTGTAATACAATTCATAATAGAATATATTGTTTTATACTTTCCTATTTGTACTACAATTCTACGTTACAATTCCTATTATAATATTGTAAAATAGTGTAATACAATTCTTAATAGAATATATTGTTTCCCACTTTCCTATTCGTAATACAATTCTATAATAAAATTTCTATTCGTAATACAATACATGTAACTATATTAGATTGTAAATGTTATAAAAATATAAAATATTTTAGAAAAATTTTACATGTCAATCATTATAAATCAGAAGGCATGATAACAATTTTTTTTTTTTTTTTTTTTTTTTTTGCAAATCTATACTATATTATTAAAAAAAAAAAAAAAAAAAAAAAAAGAATCCCCCTTTCTTGAATTCCCGCCCAAACAATAGAAAAGGAAAAATGTAAGAAGAAAACTGAATAATACTAAATACTAATTAGTAAAAAAGTTAGCAGTAAAAAAAAAATCTAATTGAGTTAATTATATTCTTAGTCTTATATTTATAGGTGACAGTCCATTTTTAGTCCATTTTTTTTATACAACATCCCTTTTGGTCCTAGTATTATTGTGACATGACCAATTTTGGTCCTCTATCAACAAAATCGTTGAAATATCATTAAATTGAAGGACATTTTGATCTTTTTAATACAAAGTGCATTAACCCGTTAACATTATAACTGTTACATCATCACGCATAATAAACATCTACTCCTCAAATATCGTGCCCATATTAACGTTGAATGGTGCAGTCAGTCCATGTCTATTAAATATTTATTCAAATACGTAAACAAAGGAAATGATAGGGTCACGATAGAGTTAATGAGTAGCTCACCGAATGCTCTCAATAGTGGTGTAGTCGATGAGATTGACATGTAATACGATTGTTGCTATATATCAACATGCGAAGCCATGTGACAGTTATTGGTGTACATGATACATTATTGGACGCCACATGTGGAGAGGTTAAATTTTCACTTAGAGCACCAGAAGAATGTTGTCTATGGTGAATATCAGCCCCTCGACGAGATTGTGGAGAACCAAACGGTTAAGCAAAGGCAGTTCAAAGCTTGGTTTGAGGTGAACAAAAAATACGAAGAGGCTCGGTCACTCACTTATGCTGAGTTCCCTAGTAAGTTTGTTTGGAGACAAAATTTGCGTGAATGGCATCCGAGGAAAAAAGGCTTCTCCATAGGACGATTGTTTTATGTTTCAGCAAGGTGTGGAGAATTATATATACTATCTTAGATGCCTTTTAAATTTGGTGCGTCGACCTTCTAGACATGAGATATTCACACTATTACGGGGGTCATTCACAATTTGTTTAGGGATGCGTGTTATGAATATGGATTATTAGATGATGATAAGGAGTACATTAACGCATTACTAATCGAGTTACTGGGCATCCGCGTATGCTTTTCGAAGGTTGTTTGCTACGCTACTCACTTCAAGTTCACTCAGTAGGCCAGAAGTGGTGTTGAATGTCGTTTAGAAATTTCTTACCGAGGATACACAGTTTCAGCGTCGATGTGTCACACATACTCTAATTATATCGAGCTCCAATCTATTTATTCGACTTTGTTATTTACTTATCAATATTTATAAATAAACTAATTTGTTATGTTTTAGTTTTTTTTTTTCCTTTTAAGAGTTGATGCTATCAGATTCAGATATGAAATAGTTCGCTATGGTGGAGTTGGAGAAGTTGTTATCTTTGTGGGGGGAAGAGCGTGAGAGACTTTCCAGAAATGTCAATTTCAAACAAAAGTAACATGGGTTTGAGTGAAATCATGTTGTTGCCGAAGAGTTGGCTTATGACAATGAATCTTTGAAGACAGATCATGAAACATTGGTAACACAATTGATTGAAGAGTCAAAGCATGTTTACAACTCCGTGATGAATGAGATTGATTCGAATGGAGGTGGATTGTTCTTTGTGTATGGTTATAGTGGAACAGACAAGACGTTCGTGTGGAAAACGTTATCTTCAAATATAAGGAATCGTTGTGATATTGATTTTAATGTTGCTTCGAGTGGAATAGTATCTTTGTTTTTGCCAGTAGTTAGGACGACGCGTTCCAAATTTGATATACCACTCTCTTTGAACGAAGATTCCACATGCAATATATCACAAGACAATGACCTTACTGAGCTTATAATAAGCAGCAAATTGATAATATGGGATGAAGCACTGATGACGCACAAACACTATTTTGAGGATTTAGAACTAACCATGAGGAATCTATTGAGGTTCGTTATATCGGGTAGTGCGGAAAAGACTTTTGGTAAAAATACAGTAGTTTTGGGCGGCGATTTTAGACAGATCTTACCCGTTATTCCGAAAGAACCGAGACCAGTAGTTGTAGAGCCATTATTAATTCTCTGTACCCCTGGACAAATTGCAAAGTATTAAGGCTCACCAAGAACTTGAGACTACGGAGCTTAGCTTCAAAGGAAGATCGACGGATTGTTGATTGGTTTTCAAAATCGATTGCATACATTGAAGATAGGATTGAAGGGGTTGTAAATGACGGTTCATATGAGATCCATATTTTGGCACGGTTTTGGTTGAAGTGTGGACACGATCCCTTAGAATAATGAACATATTTAAATTATGACTCTTTGTGTAAGGAAGAATCTGACATTGAAAACCAATCAGAAGTACACACTACTAAATTATTAAATAGTTTGAGATTGTCTGGTTTACCTAATCATTCATTGACATTAAAGGTCGGTGCACCTGTTATGTTATTGCGGAACATAGACCACTCTCTTGGTCTTTGTAACGGTACGCGGCTCATCTTCACAAGATTGACAAATCACATTGTCGAAGCAAAAATAGTTAATGGGACACATGAATGAACTAATAAATTTAAATCTAAGATAATTTTAAGATAATCATCCTAATTAAATAATAAAACTAATTCTAAAATATTCTAATATTCTAACAACCAATTGTTGATTCTCGTGCCCACAACACTTGCATATGTTATGACAATCAACAAAAGCTAGGACTAAACTACTACTATATAATATTTGATGTTATAATTTATATAATTATATATCGATCCAAATATTCTTAATATATTATAACAAATCCATTTCATGCATCGCACGGATGAAACTACTACTACTACTACTAGATTTGTTGTAATATATTAAGAATATTTGAATAGATATATAATTATTTAAATTCGAACATCAAATATTATATAGTGCAATTAAAGATATGGTCTGGATCGTTTATGTATTTTGATGTTAACATTGCCTGAATTTGTGTAAATAATTGCTCAAATTAATAGCTAATGTCTAGATGTACACATGTGGTGTTATAACTTTGAATATTTTATTTATCATTTTTTGTAAAATGTTTTCTTAAAAGAAAAAGTAAAATAATAAGTCATTAAGTTAAGACTTCTTAAATTTTCAAAAAAAAAAGTTAAGACTTCTTAAATAAAAGCCTTTTGACTTATCAATATTTACCCACGTTGATGGGCAAGCAGGCCCGGCTGGGCCCTTGCCCAAGACCCACGCTTGGAAGGGGCCCTCCACCTTATGTTATTACCTTTAATATACAGTACAGATCTCAATATAATAATATATTATAAATTCATATTGTTGAAATCAAAGTCTGCTGATTTAGTTAGTTTCACGTTTTCTATGCTCGAAGTCCAGGGATCGAATCTGGTTAACGTGCCTTCCCATTATATTTTGGAAGGGGCTCACCACCCTTTCCCATCACCGTTTATATATGTTACGGTATTAAAATTGTAAAATTTATTTATATTTTTTTAAAATCTAATTTTTAAATTTTTATAATTATAGTGAGATTTATACTATAATTTTTTTTTTTTTGTGATTTATATCAAAATTTGAATTTATTTGTATTCGAGTAATTTATTACTTATATTTAAAATAGGGAAAATGACACTTTTTCCCCCTAAGTTATATACTTATAGTACTTTTCCCCCCTCAATTATTTATGTAAGCACATTAGCCCCCTCAATTATTTTAAAAGTGGTGGTTTTTCCCCCTGATATATTAAATTGACATTTCTACCCTTAAAGTAAACATTTTATTTATTTTACTTCTCCAACAAATTATTGCGTATATGTAGCGATGATCACGGTTTGGTTCGAACTGAACCGGACACTATAGTAATCGAATTAAAAGTTTTCGGTTATGATTCAGATCTAAAACCCAATATTTGGATTTCAATTTATTAAATTTATGAATCAAAAAAACTGGATCCTGAACCGTGAACCGATGGTTCCGGATCCGGTTTGCGATTTTGAACCGTCTTTATTTTAATTTTTTTTTTAAATAGTCTAAATTCAACAAAAAATGTATTTTATTTTTTTTCAGTTCGGAACATGAACCGCCCATTCCGGTTCGCGATTTTAATAAACTCTAAATATCGCGTTTTGATTATAAATTGTAATTGGAATATTTTGGTTTGGTTGTTATAGTATCTGTTTGGTTTGAACCAAATTATAGTAATAATTTGTTAGAGAAGAAAAATAAATGAAATATTTATTTTAAATATTTATTTTAAGGGTAAATATGTCCATTTAACATTTCAGGGGGAAAAAGAACCACTTAAATAATTCAGGGGAGAAAAGTGCTATAAGTATATAACTTAGGGAGAAAAAGTGCCATTTTTCCTTTAAAATATGTGCTATTTTGTTAACTTTATAATGAGTTATTATATGTAATATATTTTGTGATTTAGTTATGAAAAATATCTTAAAAGATAGTTTAGTATTTCTATGAATTATCTAGTCAATGTAGTTTAGAAGTCATATTATGCGTCATCGTATTCGATTAAATTAATCTTTTATTCAATTAATTATGTTTCAGATTTTATTATGAATATCTTTAATCACGTTTAGAGTATTCTGATTTATTGCTCT